CCCCAAAACCCCAAAACCCCAAAACCCCAGAGAATGAAGTTAGGGTTGAGATATAGTGTTTATTTTTGGTAGTTTTAGTTGTGGGTAAATTAGAGAGAAATATCTTAAAAGTTTTGACTAAATTGTTTAAATGAAGACAATTGGAAATTTTAGACTTATCGAAAAATTAGGCTGGGGTACCTATGGAACTGTTTCCCTTTGTGAAATTATTCAGGAGCAAGACTTAGACTCAAGATTCAAAGAGAAAATGAGGAAAGATGGTGGTATTGCTTGTAAGATGATCAATTTACAAAAATTAAACTCAAAATGTCAAGAATATTTACTACAAGAGATAAAAATTATGAAAGCAATTAATCATCCAAATATTCTTAGGTTTTATACAGCTCTCAAGACCAAGGACAACATTTACATGTTTGTAGAGTTCTGTAATGGAGGAGATCTCTCCAGATTTCTTGACCTTAAAGGAGGAAGACTTAGTCAAGATCTTGTTAGAAAAATTGTGAAGCAGATTGCTTCAGGCCTCTGATACCTTAATCAAAATAAAACTATGCACAGAGATCTGAAGCTCCCCAATATTATGGTGAATTTCCCACAAAAGACTTCGTCTGAAGTGACTCCTGCAGAATATATCAAAGAATTTAACTACAAAAATGATGAGATGGAAATCATAATAGGAGACTTAGGCTTTGCTAAGTCATTGAATGATACAGAGATTGCTACATCTTGGTTAGGCACTCCTGTTAACATGGCTCCTGAGATTTTGAACAAGAATCCGTATACCTCAAAAGTAGATATATGGTCTCTTGGCATCATGGTATATGAATTGCTTGTTGGCTTTACTCCATTCATAGGCAGGCGCATGAGCGAGTTGACAAGGAAAGTAAATAAAGGAGAATACGGAGTCCCTCAGGATATCAATTTGTCTCTCTCATGTATTGACTTCCTGAGTAAATGCCTCCAGCTTGATCCGATATAAAGAATTTCTCATTGTGATCTCCTAAATCACCCATTCCTTGAAGAAGATGATGACTCCGAGAGAGTCAATCTGTCTGTGAGTATGGATTCAAATCAAAGTTCTTTCTTTGAAATTCCTACTTGAGGGTTTGAAATTACTGACACTAACGCAGTGATGTTTGCTAAGATGAAGAACACCCTAAGTAACAAAGCACAATTGAGAACTATATGCTCTCCAAGAGTTTAGTCTAGCTCCTATTTCTTCTGAAGCTACCCTTGCGCCTTACAAAGAGATAATTGAAGAGTTTAGTGCTGAGGTAGAAACAAGCGAAGATGCAAATCTTCCCGAAGATAGCTCTTTAGCAAACCCAACTGAAAATATATGGGAAGAAGATTATGAGAATCTTTTAGAAAGTCGAAATGCAACCATCAACTCACCACCGATATTTTCAAACAAGGATGCTCTCTTTTGAAAGGAAAAGAAACAAGATCATGAAGAGAGTAAATCAAATTATTTTCAGAGACTCAACCAAAGCCCATGTAAGATTTCTCCCAAGAAACAACCTGCCTTAAATAAAACTTGTCAAAAAGAACTTGAAGTATCTTTAATGTTATCTAAAATTGACTCAGCTCTAATAAGTAAGTCTAAAACACCCATAATTGGTGCTCAGAAAAGTGGAAGATCAAGAAATGATACTTTTGATAATAGAAATGGACTCTCAAATGATCCCAGTACTTTTTCAAACACAATCAGGGGATCGAGAAAGCGGTACTTTCTCACAAATACAGGCTTCAATTCTTTCTGTGCTTCCGGTAACTAAATACAGAATTAATTCCTCTCTCGGGTATGCTTTGAGGTAAGCAAGACTAGCTTTGAATGCTCTATTGGCTCTATGTAATTTGATCAATATTTCCTCTAATAATATTGCGAATACAGAAGTAAAATTCTAGACTAAATTTTATTTTGCATAAATAAAACTTTGCCAATGTTTGTTCTCTTATTTGGGGTTTTGGGGTTTTGGGGTTTTGGGG